AGCAAGTGACCTCTGCGTCTAATCCAGTGTCGGCGTGTCTGCCAGACTCAGCTTCACCTCCTGCCGCTGCAAGCCGTTCAATGTAGGCCGGTCAAGCTCCGAACGGTTGTTCAAGAAAAGCTCAAAGTGATTTGACCTGGTCTGCATTATGTCTGCAGTCTGTATGCAGGCAGTGCTTAAAGTAGCATCGACCATTTTCCTCAGCGGCTCCAATCTCGGCCTATACACCGTCGTCAAGAAGTGAAACAATTCCTTGTTTTGGCAGTGTTCGGTGTAGCATTCCATCTGCTTTGACTTCTCGTCCACCATGCATTTCTAATGCGACGGAGCTCTCGAATCACTCGCCGTCTAAGTTTGCGAAACTGACTTCTTCTCCGAGTCACTGACGTCTGCCACATGTGCAGCAATTGCTGCATTCTTCTCAGACACCAATACGCCAATCGTCGGTGTTCTCATCAAACCAATAAGACAGCTTATATTTTTCGTGCCCGATGATCTCCTGGGCAGCAGCGGTCACCTGGTCGCGAATCTGGTACCCCAGGTCACTCACTGTGGCTATGCAGTCCACATCACATAGACGTGCAGCCATCGCCTTCTCCAGCTCAATACGTTTCACCACAGTACCGAGGGAGAGAACTTAAATTTACGCCGATTCACGGCAGGAGTGCATTATATAGATTTACGAAAATATATGTACAGTTCGGTCGGTACCAATTTGTGGTCAGTTCCACACAGCTCCACGCAGTTCACGTTTCATGCGCACTTCACGCATGTCACACTGACGTAGTAGGGTACGTGAGCGTGACCACTCCGTAGGCGCGTCCAAGTTGCTATATCACTCGCACTCAGTGCCAACCGAGTGTTTGTGATCATCAGACCATGACTGGCGCTCAGTGAGGGCAGCCTACCACTGTTCGCATTCGCTGAACCATTGCCATGCGGACCGATGACATCTGTCCACACTGCTGCAACACGCCCAACGCGCGCGTTGAAATCACCTAGCAGAAATAGTCTGTCGCTCCTCGGCACATACCGTATTACGGAGGATAGCTGAGTACAGAGTTGATCACGGGTGTCATCGGGATAACACATGGTCGGGCCGTACGTGTTTATAAAAGTGACAAACTTAATTCTTCCGAGTCGTAAGCGAAGAGCCATCAGGTGTGCGCTGATGCGCGGAGGCATACGATTACATTGGTGGGCAATCGTGCGCCTGGGGTTGGTTGTGCTTTAGAGGTTTGCTTGAGGGACTCCGCCAGGAAATTTTGGCCCAATAGGTTGACCCACAAGGTAGTGGGTAACAGATCCAGCTCGGGAGTGTGATTGCATAGATCCGGTGGGCTATGCTTGAGGTCCGTCATACACAGCCTTTGAAGATCTGAAACAATGCATTTGTGTTTTGTGACCGTAGTAGGATGCGCACCTGCGACCACGGCCAGACGCAGGTGGGTTTTGGCGTGTTTGCACCAATTCGACCAGGGGCTGCCTGGATTGAGCTGGACAGTAGCAAACCATTGAGCACTTGGAAGTGTCTTCACACCGTTAGAGACAATGCGTGGCGCTCATGCTCTATGCCAATAGAGCTGTGAGCTTATGACCCGTAGACCTCTTGTCTCCCATGGCTAGGTTTTAAGGAAAGAGGGCCGTCGACCAATTCCTAACCTCCGAAGAGGATGGGGTTTGGAGTAAGATACAACCAGGGCGTCCACACCTAGCAGGAGAACGACTAGAGTCCTCAGTCAAAGCATTCGCTTAAATGTACACCCGAAATTCAGCGGGTCTAGCACGTTGTCATTTCATTGATTCATGCGCATTGGTGTCCTGGGTCTTAGCTAGAAAAAGGGCGTAACCCAACTCCCAGCCAGCGGTCGCCACGACGCGCCCAGAACATGGGCCCAGGGCACAACAGTAGCACCAGTGGGTAGACTGTCAGGATCTAGCCACCACAAGCTTCAGCGCACCATAGGCTCTCCCGCCTCTTCCATTCGACCATACGAAGTGATTGTTCGTTTGGAATATTTTAAGTTACACTGACCTACTCATAAATAACCAGTAGTGTTATTTGCTCGTAAATGTGGCCTTCACCCCACAAATACACGAGAAACGGTTGTGCTGGGTCTAGTGAAACGTAGCTACACCATTTCCGAATCATGTAAAGGCCATAGCAGGATCAATTAAAGTCGAAAGGAGTTCAAATTGCGCCCTTAAGTTGGCCTATTTCACACGTCAGCCGACGTCTGCGCAACACTTCACATGCTGTGAAACACAACTTAATCTCAAAATTCATAAATAATCCCATTTGAGTCAGAAGTAATCAAATACGCGAAGAATATTCTTTTCGATAATTCTCATCAGGCCTGTACAATCATGAAGCAAAAATTTTGGAGAGAATAAAGCCCGTAGAGGCCTATACAGAGAGCAATCAACTCATTAACTGGGCAATATGAAAATAAAATCAATGATTTGATCAATCGGATTGTCGCATTAGGAAGCAGGTGATCAAGGAAGGTCAAGTTCAAGGCCAAGGCAATTTCAGAGCCTGTAGCAGTGTGTGCTGTTTGCACAGCTCTGGTTTCAGAACTTTGATAGCAATGGCTTCAGAAATGCCCAATAAATGTTTCCTAAGCTGCGTCACTACGAAAAGGCACGGTAAAATCCATCAACAGTTCCGTATTACAACACTTGGTCGACACTGGACACCAAGTCCAGATAAACCAGTCGTTTCGAATCGTTCATACTATCCCTAAACGATACCAAAAACAGCTTAAGAAACATTTATTGAGCATTTCTGAAGCCATTGCTATCAAAGTTCTAAAACCAGAGCTGTGCAAACAGCGCACACTGCTACAGGCTCTGAAATTGCCTTGGCCTTGAACTTGACCTTCCTTGATCACCTGCTTCCTAATGCGACAATCCGATTGATCAAATCATTGATTTTGTTTTCATATTTCCCAGTTAATGAGTTGATTGCTCTTTGTACAGGCCTCCGCGGGCTTTATTCTCTCTAAAATTTTTGCTTCATGATTGTACATGCCTGATGAGAATTATCGAAAAGAATATTCTTCGCGCATTTGCTTACTTTAATCTCATAAATCGCGCTTGAGCGTGAAACTGTGAGTTGTTCTGGCTGTTAAGTTCAGATCTCGAGAGCACGGTAAATGCAGGCAAATTGGATAAAATCTCAAGAGACTGCACAGGAAAATAACCTGTCTATTACAACTTTCTAGTTGGATTGCAGCCTCAATGAACAGTCAGTATCTTCCATCGGTTGAGAGAGGACTACAAGAAACCGGGTATGAAGAAATCGGTAAAATGGAATTCCAGCGCGGTTGCCCCGACTGCGGATGTAGCGTTAGCAAGCAACGAGATCGACTGTTCCTAACGTTCCGACAGAGGCAATCTGGTGTTGGTGGAGTGCAACTGGGGACTTTCAGCGGTCGAGTAAAAATAGCCAATAAGGAACCTATCAGACTTCAGTTGTTCTCAGTGAACGGACGCCGTTGAGATCGCAGTTGTGCTGGTGGTTGAAACCAGGGGCGAGGGCAATCGTATGCCTCAGTGCGGTCGATCAGGCGATCGATCGAGCGGACGAGTGAATTTTTAAACACGCAGCTAATTGTACAAAACCTCAGGATTGTTAATAGAACGCTAGTGTGCTGAGTTGGTGTGTCTTGTTTTTCTTGATGTGGCTGGGATACCCAGGCAGGCAACAACATTCAGGCTATGCCAGGTGACTAAAGTATTACGTGGCTAATGCGGTCTAATACACACACACGGCGTTACTGCTCCAGGCCGTGCCAATATTTTGGACGGGTGTTACGCCAAGATGACCAACAACGGAACGCAAGTGCGGTATAAGTGCCTGTCAAACTCGGGCAGGTGTTGACCGTGTCAACGAGGTTGTACTCTGACGTGGGAAGTGCCGACCAAATAGGTAACACAAGTGCGATTTGAGTGGCTGGCCAACTCGGGTGACCGTAGACTGAAAAAACAGCACGAACAGACCGTCATATATATAAACAGAAGCAAAACGAAACGCCTCCACTTTGTTTGAGGACGGGACGCCGGAAACGGGGGATCATGATTTCCATAATTAGAAGGTTTAATTGACTTAGAAATAGAACCATTCTGTTGTATAGAATGCACAACATCTACCGGGTATTAACTTTGGTTCTCACGGTTGCAGTGGACACCAGGCAGAGGGTGCCGTAGGCAGCAGTACTGCAAGCAAGTAAACCTAATATTAAACTGGTCAAAAGAAATATGTCATTGGATGAACTATGGTAGTGACCTTTTTCAGCGAATAGGTTGAGCGTCCGTGAACCCCAAAATGTATATTGTGGTGTCCATTGGAAGTCACTACGATGGTAGTGTACAGTCAGGGTGATCGGAAGAACTCAAGGATCGAAACGGCAACCTAGGGGAGACGAATATGACACATTTCTCCTTGAATACTGAGCTATAAGCGCCTAATTGTTGAAGTTAGTAAGTAGAAGATTAGCTGATTTGGAAATTACATAGAAGAGTCCCAAATTTGTGTGGATGACAAGTTCATTGAAAAATGAGTTACTGTTTCTAAACCCAACCAGTCATACAAAATGCGGCTGATAGGCTAGATCCTTTATAATCCTACCGAAGTTAGCCCAACATAGCTCATATAAATAGTGAATAAGTTCAGAATTTGGCAGCCAAATAGTTTCAAAAATGTTGTGTGTAATCAGGAGCTATCCATTTTTCATAAAACAAAATAATTAGGTGGATCTCATATAATGTGCACTAAAGTTGAGTAATTCACAGGGTTAGTGTGAACATTCGTCATGGACAGGTCAGTTACTGCATGGTTGAAATAGATTTTATTATTATCACAGTCAGTCCCAGTCTAGTAACCGCCACAATGAAAATTGCACGGACCATAGGTAGTTGATAATTTAACACAAGAAAAATGATGAAATGATCGTCATGCAACAATGTGCTTCTCCAGCTGATTGTCTATTTCTTAGTTATCGCGGTGGTCCTGTGGATATGTGGGCCATGGGGATCGTGCTGTTTTTTCTCCTAACTGGTCTACTGCCCTACCGCGGAAACACAGTGGGGATGGTTCGTCGTTTGGTGCTGGAAGACCGCGGACTGAGACCTCAGGAGTGGTTATCTCCGACGGCTAGTGCATTGTATCTACAACTAACATCCAGGTCACCAGACGACAGACCCACAGCAGCTCAACTTATTAACCTAGCCAATTGCGCAGCAGGACAGAGAAAACGATCATCCACAGGAAAGTCGGAGGCCAGAGGAGAACAGCGCAATATTGAGGGGTGGAGCACTTGGCTAGCAGGACAACGATTTCCCAAAGATCTTCCACGATTCAATCGATGTGCACCGGTAAGCTTTTATAAAGTATCGGAATGGTTGGCTTCTGGAGCCTAACACATAGATCGGAAACCGAAATCTTCAAGTTAATCTATATCATTTGAAATCAATTACTGAAGACATAACTCTGCCATAAATTTGGAGGCTTTTGGAAATACACTGTAATATCATGGCATGCGATTTTGCATGAATTATTTTGTGGACCGAAACACAGGCGCCCAAAGCAGTTAGTAACCTCCAGCAATGTGAAGAATGCGATAAAAAGACGAAAGTTGGTAGATCCCATATATCAGCAGTATTACCTGAGCCGCTTAGGAAATTTCCATTCTTTCAGTAGCACTAGAAATATCGCTTTGACATCTAACAGTTATCATTCACTGACTTACGCCTCAGATGTTACGATGGTCATTTCGGTTTTCCGTAGCTACCACGCTGTTTGTGGACTGGTTCACTTGTGTATGCTTATTCGTTAAACGCTAAACATTAAATTCAACCGTTTTGAAGCACAGATCAGGTTTTCAACTAGCCAGGATCATCACTGAGCTTGTGGGGTCTTATTCAGATGTGTAAGTAAGAGGCGTGTAGAGTACGGAAGTAGGGAGTACAGTTAGATCTTCTGGACCTAACCTGTATTGACAAAGGCTACAAAGGATGGAGGTCAGGTAACCAGAAGCAGACAGCAGGATGCAGCGTGACTAAACAGAGGAACAAGTGATCGGTGAGTACCATCAATCAAACAAATGGACGATCGAAAGATATAAACAACAATAAAATCCACTGTCTCAAAATACTGAATGCGTGAGTGATTCATGTTTACTACGAACTGAATACTTAGGGCACACATGATCACTAAGCAAATGTAAAGTATTCAATTGAGCTGCGGTGACAAATTTCAGCAACAGGTGGAGAGACGCAGTCCTAAAACTAGTGACATACTCCATACCAAATAGTTGCAGGCAATAAATTCACAGACACTCGCAAGGTGAACACCAGGTGACTCTGAGCAAATAAGTGTATTTCGGGCACATAACCTCATTGGTCCCGTGTGGGTTACCATGTGAAAATTGATCTGGTGAATCCTTAAAGGGAAGCGCACTAATGACACTCGTCGCTGCTATAACCAGGTAAATTGACGAGTTGGAAACCTCTATTAACCGTTGCCATGCAGTAGAATAATATATTACAGGTGCCAGCGATGGGAGGAGCAAAATCGAAACCACTGAACTTCGGATACGGTCCTAGTAGTCGGACTGATCGAGGTCTACTTCAAAGAGGACCGAGGCCCTAATAGAGGTTGATCGTCACAATCCAAGCACACAGCGGGTACTCCAAATCCAGTTGTAAATTCGTTACCTGTGCCAATTTTAGCTATTAAATCTCACTGGCCTAGTGATTAAGGCGTCAACCGTCCACTACTATGTAACGATTTCTGCTCCCTTCTGCGGTTACCCATATCTAATGAATCCAAAAGAAGACGAAACCGGTGATGGCGTGTCAGTGCTAGGAGGAGTAACACTGAAACCCTTGCACTTCGGATGCGGTCCTAGCGATCAGAATGACAAGGGACTATTTCAACGCACACCGAGGTCTCCATTGAGATTGCGTGTTGCAATCCAACCGCACTGTGAGTACGGTAAACCCGAGTGAATAAATCACTTTTTCAGCATGGTTTAATCCGCACCTATCACTAAATACACAGCACAGTGCACATGTGGCCACGCGAAACGAATAGAGACTGAGAATTTTATCTAGCTAATATACACGAGGCATTTCTGACTAGCAGGCAACAGCCAACGTTGATTTCATTTCTTTCTATTCCCCTCCACATGCCATACGCAAACTCAGGTTCAGGCAGAAATGAGGTGCATCACACTGTTGCCAACATCCATCGTTAACGGATGCCTCTCGGTCGACTGATCTTGACAATGGTCTTGGTCTTTGCATAATCCCTTTCGGTTGAAAGTACACTACTATTAATTAAACGCTCAACACGCTCTCATATGAAAATGGAATGTGAACAGCCACGATCGGATAATTTCCATTGGTTGCACCGAAGTCGTAGCCCTTAAGGACAGCACGCTTCTTATCACTTATCAGCCGGAAAATGGCCACAGGGTCAACACAAGGTTATATACAAGTGGTAAGAGAGCGGATCACGTTTTGTCCCCGTGCGCTGACAAAACTACCAACAGCAAGGTGCTACGTAGGAGAGACCGCGGTGTAGTAGATTTGTCTTGATTGTTAGGATAATTAGGGGGATTCAAGAACAAATACTCATGCTAACCTGGAGAGATACGTTTAGTTTAACCAACCAGGTAGAAAAATTGTGGTTGAAATCACGTTAGTCACTACTGTTTCAGACGAGAGGACGACGCTTTCTCCACCATCCAAAAATAAGGCGGGGTCTTTAAATTTGCCGTTGCCGCTCAGTCCCAAAACATCGATTTTGCGCTATCTACTGCAAACGTATCAATTTTATTTGAATCTTTTGACGAGTTCTTTGGCTGGACAATCTTAAGGTCACTGAGGTCGCTCAACTCCACCGATTCTTTGAAAAAGTATCCGAAAAGCCGTGCAAAACTCTAGGTGCGCTGCCTTTATCCAATTGAAACGAGCTATTAATAAACATTTTAAGAAAGATTGCCTCGTCAACTGGAAGAAGACTCTTATAATTCATTAAATCAATGTGCGGTCGTTGCTCAAATATTCGGGACCGTTTAGTTAAGTGATATGTGTGCACTCTTTACCCATTCTGTTTTTAAAATTGTAAAATTCTTATCTTTAGTGATGATGTTTATATCACATTTGTGGTGAATAGTGTAAAATACTGAAAATGCTTCCACTTTGGTGCATAAAACCTTTACTGACTTAACTTTTCCGGTGAAATTCCATGTGCACCCAAGCAGTATCTTTAGTGTCATTAGGAATGCACAAATCAGACATCTAGTGATAAACGGAACTATAACCCCAGTCTGTGGTCACCTGCGCATTTGATGATACTTCTGCTGTTTTGCTACCCAAGAACTAAGTGGTGTGGTGAGGAGAGAGAGAATGTTGATCGCTTACGAATAACGGTGGTTCACTATGGCCTGATCCGGTCACACCACATTCGGCTTACATCAAAACAAAGTTCTTGTTGCTACGCAGTGATCGGGCACAATAAATACATGCTGTCGTCAGCACAACATAAGGGGTTTTCTGCGTTGATTCGTAAAACTAGTACTGGCCCATACATCGCCTCAATGGGGACAAGTTGGCGCAACAGGACCACGTTGGACACGAAAAATCGAAGGCGGCTAATTCAAGGGATTGCTCGACAAGCCAACTCGCACTGTGTATGCAATGTCAAAGTTTTTTTTGATACAAACATATGCTCTCATAGGGGAGTATATTCTTCCGTAACACTCACACGCCACTAACAAACCTAACTAGCTAAAACCTTGCAAATGGATATGTGTAAAATGACAGTCCTTACAAAAGCGCCGGGTCTCGTATCAACGAAGTATTGTATTTACAGATCTTGATGGATTAAATCTTGTTCCATCAATAAACGTGACAAATGGGGACAACTAACGCACCGCGAGCTTGCTTGCGAGTATCTATGTAGTAGATTATACATGTCAATTTCAGGAGGACATTAGAAGGCACATGGCGGAGTAGAGTGGTACATAAATGGAACTTGGAATGAACGGTGCATTCACTTCGCCAGTTTTGTTCAAATAAGTAGGAAATGGAGCGTCCTGCGTTACTTATCAGAGACAGATACGCTTAGAAATTAGTTGGTTTCTTCCGAATGGTGTTTGAGAGCAATGGATAGCTCCAGCAGTTGATCCAAAAGCGTATGGAGACGCAAAGAGCGAAGCTAAAGCCTACTTCCGGAGTAGATAGACCCCTCGTTCCCTCTTAACCTTAAGAGGTTAGTGAACCCCCACCCCCAACAACTTCCATTACCACAGCGATGGACTCACGTTGCGGCCGATGTAAACCTGAGTTTCTCCACAGCACCAGTCGTATGCTGAAAGCGCAAGGATAGTTACAACCATCACAGACTTTCTTTTGTATACATAATCTTTGTCAGCCGTTTCGAGGGAGATACATTGGGAAAACGACCGGACGATTGTCCATAAGAGCTTGAGAACACTGCCCAGGTTGGCTCTACAGCGATGTGAGTGAGACTGTGAAGATCCCATTGCTATCTTATTTGGTTGACTAATCAACAAATAAACTCGCATGATTCCACCCAGTCTGTATACTCTGTACCAGGACTGCTGTAAACGCAGGCCGTATGTGAAGTAACCAAATGCAATTTAACCAAATGTTTGTCTAACGCTGGTACATATAGGAAGCAATCCATAGAGAAGCGGTTGATCTGGTACGCGTGTGTGGGTCTGTGTATTCGTGATGCGTACAGGCATGACGGTGTCTGAACAGGTAAGCTGACTACGCAACGTCACCTTCTGCCCAGTCACAAGGAGCATCAAATCCACATCGATCATGTGACCGGGGATAGGATTGTTCCGCTCGTTTGCTAATTGTAACTAACCTAGTGTTAATCGTGCGGCCATCTTCCAGTTGATAAGTACCAGGCTTACAGACGCGTGTTATGCTTATATGGTCCCATGAAATGACGTGCGAATGTTCCCAGTTGGAGCAGCTTGATCTCTTTGACGGCTCTCTAGTTCATCGGTTTTGTTCGTTACCAGATTGGGAAGTGCTGCACTCAACTTTCATAAGGAAGGCTTACGGTGCATAAGAAAATGTTCTCAACGAAGCTCTCTGAAACGGTTAAACTGAAGATGCGTATTGCGTATAATCTTGTGTACCGAAAATTGGGTTCAGAATTGTGAAAGTCTCTCAAGTAGCAATGTTGTATCAGAGTACTGAAAAGTAGAGGTCGAACTGCTTTCGTAGTTGAACAGGTTCAGTCCGTCAATAAAAAAGTTTACGAGCATTTCATTGTCCGGAGCGGGACGGCTAGCCAATGAAGCGTCTCCTCAAGGTTGATAATCAATTTCGCTTTTGCATTCGAACGTAGTTCCGCTTATTGATGATCTTCGCTCCCAGGAAATCAAAGGTGCGACACCGCGAAATTTTCCACATTGGATGTTGGCCTGGAGAACAGAAGGGTCGGGGGTTACCTCTAAGCAAGCTGCAGTTCGCGTTGTGAGTGTTCTTCGCAATCAGAATACATGAAGCTTCATACTATAAAAGCGACCATTTCTAATGGTAATATCGACAGAGCATAAAAAGGTTTAGTAGTGAGAACGCACGGATGAACGCTCGGGTTTTCATAAACGTATCCAATACATACGGTTACGGCGTTCTGTCATCATCACCTAATGACTAAGCCACTAGCGCCCAGACGTCATGCTTCCGTCTCTGGTTGGGCGAAAGGACGCGCAATGCAATAGGACGGAACGAATGTCCAACACTTTTGTGAATGAAACATCGCCAAATCACACACAAGCCGATACGCGTTGGTGAGTTTGTGCTTAGTGACACGTAAGGTTTTACTGTCTCGCTTACTCCCTTTCTGGTACCGATATAACGCAGTCCAGCCGTTTGTGAGCATCGCCGGAGCGATGAGAGCATTCGTAATCATGGCTAGGAATAAACAGGTGGCAAACAGACGGCGAGCGACGACAAACAGGACAGTTTGAGTGTATCATTTCCGACGGGATCAAAGTGAATCTCTATCTTAGCTGGAGGTAGTGCACCAAGGCAACGGAGTCCTGGAAAGACACGTGCGCGCATTTCACTTGTGGCATGATCTACTGTCCAAAAGTAGGGGGCGAAAATTTAGTGTGCCAACGAAGAGACGTTGCAGACTACTTGCGAAACAAATCATTTGGAAAACAGTCATGAGCCGAACTTCTCTCGATCATACCGACCGTCGCCGAGAAATAGCCCTTTTTACTTGTGTTAGTTGTAGTGTGGAAGTTAACAGTACACTGTTTTCAGGCCAAACGGTGTTACATCTCTGGCGATAGACCCAAGTTGAAACCATGTAAAACTGTCGAAGTTGTTCAGAATCTCGCTGCATTCCCCGCCCTAATTTAATAGTTCAGGCACACTATTTCTATGTAGGTATATTTTGCGAAGTCATAGTATAAGCGAAACAGTGTTTGTGACCAAGCATTTACTAAAAATTCGTCCTACTACCACAGTACGTTGAGTCCAGGTTACGAGTTGTTCCACTTCCAAAGGGCATCACGATGGGCACGCGTAATTCCCTGGTCGGTGAACTGACAAATATGGTGTGTTTTAGTCACGACTCCGATAACGGAGTTGGAATTTTTCTGCGGAGACACCTGAATTCTGCGGCTCAGAGCGACAGTTGGGCACTAGATGAGACACATGCGGATATTGGGACGCAATAAAATGAAAGTCTAGAGTCCACCTTTTTGAACACACTTGCCCCAGTTTGGGCCATACGCCAATGATTAGACAGAACTACGGTGACACCTTGGATAGCTTTCAAACAACGATGCATATAATATTTCACTTAGTAACAGGGTAATAAGTCTAATCAGGGCATTGGTACATAGCCACACATTTACGCTGGTAGTGTAGTCAGCTAGAAGTGGATGAGGACATGTTAGCGTGTGATCGATACCAGTGAGGGTCCGGAACTCGAAGTAAAGAAACTTGGAGTATGACAGCTCCTGAAACCGACTTATAATGTCGTAATAACCAGAACACTGAAACGTTTTCCTAAGACCAAGCTGCACTGGCAGCGATGCGAACCGTAAGCACACAAGACGTAGTTTGAGGGTTTAAACTCGGTAAGTTGGATTCACTCAACAGTTTGGCTTGATGTAGCAGCACCGGGCCCGCCACACCGTGACCGGTTAATTCAGAAGGGGGAAAGAGAATGTATCTTTCCTTTGTCATAGGAAACGCATAGAAAATAAAATAAATAAGTGTAGTTCCGGATCGGCGAGATACGTTCCTACAGCACGACACACAACACACTGTGCAGCGTTGCTGCCTCACGACCTACATGCACGCAGTGACATCTTGTTTGCTTATGATTCGTACCTAATGTTACAGGATGAATCGTACCATAGATATGAGGGGTGTAGAACTTATGTTCGCCTTTGGATATATCAGTGAAAAGTGCCGTTGCAATGGTCCACATTCTCTTCTCTGGTTCGCCGGTCAGTCATGAGACTTGAGCCGTTTTGCATGTGGAAGTACTCTGCTGCAAAGGCGGTCTTCCACGATATCCATCCTGTAGTGCGAAGCAGCGAATTAGGTCTGCCTACCTTTAAATTTCACTACTGAGACATCTAATTTTTGAGGTATTTCGCAGTCATTCCCTGTAAGGCACTCTCATCTCTACAGATGGCCGCAAATTTTACGGGGTCAAATTTATTGCTCAGAGTTGACACCATGTATCGCGGTTAGTCTTCACGAGGCGCGCACATCAGCTGCGACTTTTACAGGATGGAAATTTGTAGTAACAGCTCAGCTGATGTTAACAGAGGAGGAAAGAGCAAACCACACGTTACAGTGTGCTCACATTGGCCCACTTACGCGCCCATTCCGTGGAGGTATCCAGCCAAAAATATCATGTTTTATGCAGATGAGCATTAACAACGGGTTGTGTTTGGATCCGTCCTTCTTGCTGGGGAGTAAACCAGCTCACATGTAACCCGCTGCGAACCACAAAATACCTGTCGCCCAGACCGGTGACCGTCGGATGAAGCAACCGACCTGCCACTTCACGCTTGCTCACATACCGCCTAATATGACGCTGTTGTTGGCCCTATTGATCGATCGATGTATGCCACACTGGCATTCTCATTTGTCTATAGTGACTTTGGTGCTCCACTGGCGCCATGCGCCCTGAGTTATGCACGCGGATCCTGGTCCATTCACACCACATAGTGCGTCTCAGGTCCACATGCATGAACATGTCTACCTTGAGAAACGCAGACAACATCTAAATCAATGTCTAACGTATGCCTCAAGTGCGCTTGTATGTTTTTTCATGTTGCGAAGTCAACATGACTTTACCTCTCTGTCCTATGAACCCACAACCCGTTTGACCAATCCACACAGATGGGACGAAACATGCATCCATTCTCTGTGACCTGAATGTGCTTTGATCAAAACGTGATTGATCTTGCGAGCGCCACGTGCGGTCGGTGTTGTGAATGTGCCACGATTTTCTCAATATCACACTTGGTCAAAACACAGGTAAAGTACATACACGTGGAGGGGGTTAGGTCATAATGTCGTGCACAAAAGAATACTAATAGGCCGTGTGCAACGAAGCGGGAATGGAACGAATCACACGATAGCAGTGATTTTGCAGACAACTGAGCTTGCAACAAACACACTTTTGCTCTACTCTCGGTTTGACAATTTGATCTCCGCCCACTCACACTGTATGCCACTAACTTAACAATAATCTTGTTAGATTCTTTGCAGTTTGAGGGGTGGCCCGTCACTGAACTCCATCGGAACGACCAGTCTGTCAACCATCTCACATAGTAACCAGTATTCAGAAGTACAGCGTACCTCTGAAACAAAGTACTCGGATGAAATGGTGTCAGGCTCCACTTGCACTTCAATCTCAATGGGGCTTTCCGAGGCAGAAGAAGCAGATGTGCCGTGCGAATTGAGGCCAATAGGGAAACCACTGAACAAGAAGACGCTATCATGTGGTGATTGCAATGATGAGGCCGAATTGGAAGCAGCTCGTCTGCTCTTGGGTCTTGGGGTGAGCAAGGAAGAAATCGCCGGAGCCAAGAACCTGGAATCACGAAGTGCTGTTACTGGAGCCTATCGAATCATTCTACATCAGAGACACAGGTATGCTTGTCCAGACAAAGTTAGCATTTTGACAATATACATTGTCCCATCCACTGCGTAAACAGTTTTAGTCAAAACCATGTGGAAAAAGTAGCCAAATTCTACGAGTCTCGAAATGAGCTGTGGCTAATAAGCTACTTGGATGTACACTGTTAACCTTGCTTCACTCATGAGTAGGGGATTTTGGAGAAAATAATTTGGGGCTTCGTTGCAACAGCTTTCAAATCAGATAGTCCTCCACATGCCCGGAGAAGAACTAAACGGCTGTTCTAGCCTATCAGGTTTCGTTCATTCGGTTTCCTACAGCCCTTTATCATGAGGAAATAGGTTAGAGAAGGCGAGGCTAGTGCGCTATTTTCAGCTGTGAATAGCCAAGGCACTATTGAAACGTGTCGCTCCAGCTGTTAACATAGCAAACGCATGACGATAGACGGAAATTTTCATCGTATGAAGTCGTTCGGTATGGCACGGAGACAACTTCGTGCCGCACCGGTAAACGCGCAGTTCAGAATAGCCCACCTCACAAGTGGTGGGGAGATCTAGCTGCTGAAACTAGCTCGCGCATAGGAAAACCAGAGATGCTTTCATTAATCTACAGAAATGCTTGCCTTAGAACAGAGGTATCTTTTCTGTTATTACTGCTCGATTGTTGCAAATATCATCTCACTTTTTTACAAATATGACAGTAATAATCTGTTGATTCACTTGACTCGATGAATTTTGGTAACAGACTGTTTGCAAGCCTATAGGTGCTTTAAGTTACTGATCGTTTCCAAAAGTCGTTAAAGACAATAAGAGTAAAAAGCAGCTACAGAAAACCATTGGTAAAGCGATCCATTTCTATTCTAACACTCAACTGCACAAAGCACGAACTTTGAGCAATATACTTCACTTTCCTTTCTGGATGTCGTTGCAGAGCCCGTCGTCTCAGTCGATTGGATACGTTGGAGAATACAGACGATGCAAAGATCAACCAAGGCATTTTCTCATCCGTACCTGACCGGGTATCCGAACCTGAACCCAGTTTGGGGACGACAGTAACCCAACGAGAAGCGCCCTTGAGCGCGGGAGATGAGAAAAAAGGGAACACAAGAAAAAGATGCAGCAAGCGCCACCGACTATGCACTCTTCTCTAGTGAATCGCTACCCTAGCGTGTACTTAGACGCCACTCCGTGGTATGGCACGTTTTTTCAAAATCCTGGTCCGCATGATCTTCGCTCGGATACGGAACAGCAAGTGCAATACCCGCATAAAATAAACTACACATTACCAGCACAGTCTATCTCTCGACTAGAGTAGTGATATTTTCTTACAAATTGTAAAGTGTCACATTAATCTGTCGCTTTTGACAATATTTGGAGACGTGACGTAAAGGAAAAACAAAGGTGGCTACATAACGCTTTGATGCCATCAAACAATCGACAAAATAGGGAATGCAAAGATGAGGGCGGAAGTATAGGTGTATATAGCCGATTATGAACGTTAGTTTGCGTAACTCAGGAACGTCTGATTGGTGACATCCGGTTTCGGATTTGCCTGTCACTCTGGCCAGCCATAGGACGCCTGCGTCTACAGAGGGACTATAGGTGGCTTGCGCTGCACCATCCACAGCTCCAATCACACACCCCATATCCAGTGTAAATCCGAAGGAATAAGACCGGGAGGCATGCGGATGGGAACCACGTATCATCAACGGAGCCGGCCCACACTCCTTCACAGGCAAACACAAGCACCCTGTATTTGGGGAGTCAATCGCACACAAGACGGTGGCTGGACTGGTCCGCTCCACACTGACTGCATGGAACCACTCTTTGATCCTAACACGGCCACAAGGACCGTGCACCCTGTCCCCTCCAGCAACGACCAACTGCCTCCTGGAGCCAGTATGGACGAGGTAGTGGGTAATAGACAGGTAGGCACATTGTCAACATGCACATCAAGCGCAGCCACACCGGGGATATCAAGCAACAGCCAATCACCTGAAACGACAAGATGAATTACAACAAATCCAATAATGCATACAGATACAATGGCATAACTCTACGCTAAATTAGTATATAAAGTAAGTTGGTTAGCAACGAATCCGCGATAAGGAAAATAATGTTAAAAAGTTATTTAAAAATGGCACAAACGCGACGAAATTACCGAATATAAGCGCAATTAGTGTAAGCAACGTGGCCAGTTAATAGAAGATAACTTAGGTAGGCAGAACAAACCAAATAAAGTGGAATGAAATTTATCCAGCTTAAAAGGACCTAGATTAAGTGTAAGTTGGTTTAGCCCAACTGCGTTGAAGAAGCACCAAGGATGCAACATCAGCCTCATCATGGGGCACACTCAGGAACGGATACAGATCGTAATAATGCATATGACAAGCGTCACTTTGCAGTAGTAATGATACAGCCATGTGGTCAAAAACTCCCATTTCCGAAAAATCAGTAAATTACAGGAATCACAAGGAGTGCTATCATGTCACATGCAAAGGGAAGAATAAAGACAAACGAAATGTTCACGTAGTTTCTAAGAAAGCAAGGAAGTAGTTTCGACTTTACTCAAGGCATTTTTATTACATGGCTATTTGCCATTCGTCTTTCAATTTACCATCTTGTTGCAGCTTGTTTCGCGCTCCTCGTTAACTTCGATTCAATCCTTCAAATAAATAAATGTGTCATAATTCCGGAATTACTTTAATCGGTTTGAATCACCGAGTCCCATCTAAGAGAATTTATCGTCAGGATGTAAATTCAGACGCAAGTGATCACATCGAACTCGACGGTTCGGACAAATTTTGCGCAACAACCAATGCATTCAATCACACCGTTTAAGTCATCAACGACCCTTTGGTTTTGTTCGTAGAGCACCTTTAGGCCTACCAAACAAACCAAAGATCAGTACCGCGTTGTAACTCATTTCGCATCACATTGTGGCTTGCGTATTGACTACATGCTAATCTCTGCGCAAACCAAGAACTATCGATAGCAATGTCTGCCTGTGCGCGCAAGTGGCACACCAGGACAACACTTTTATGCGGTGCATTGATAGTGCACATGTGACCGTAGAAACTCACTTCCGATCGGCCGGAGTGGAAAACTGACGCGACCTGAAAAGCACAAGGCGACAATCTAACCACCGGTCTGTTTACTGAAGTTTCACATAACGGTGGGGATCCAGCAATCATGCAGCCAAATGGGATCCATGCAAAGGGCCAATGCAGCCCTGCACTGAGCCAACGTAAGAGAGTGCTACCTTTTTCCCGTTGTTCAAACTATTTCTACTCCAAAAGCGCTGATCTATGTTAACGTGAAAAGAAAGACCGCAACAGCCCACTTCGTTTCATCCGGATTTTGTGGGGGTGTTCGCCCAATTCGGCCATAAAGGGAATAGCTGACTAGAAATAAAAGTACGACCGCCTGGCAGCCGATGCTGAACAGCGAATGAGCTGCAAGACGACGTCATTGGAAGCATTTTGACAATCAGAGAAAAGATAACTGCACGAGTTGCTTTCTTGGATGCACGAGTAACTAAGATCCTATCGCCGTTCTACGGTTTTGGACAACATTCAACCGAAAATAGGTGGAGACTGACAGTCAAGCTGTACTCGCGGTAGAAAACTGAACACCACGCACACAACGGTATCCATTCTTACCAGGGTGGTAACGGTGGAACATCTATATCCTTCAGCCACAGCACTAAAATCTCGAATAAAACCCAAAATTCTTGGTGCCTCAGCTACGTACGCATCGATTGTTGCAAATGTCAGCCGAGATGTCAAGTTTACCGCTTCGCTCCTTATAACCACCACAAATGCAAATGGTGAGAGTAAAGACAGATAACCTAAACGCCAATTGGTAAAACCCTAAAACTAATGACCACATTACCTCCCACAGCAACACTTTATGCAACATTATTCCCGATCGTGCTGGCATCTCAATGAGAGAGGCTGGTTGACGAGCTTGACCGATTTTGTTTCCAGTGCGGTCTGGTGAATGTAAAGGTCAAATACACCAATTTGGCAAGAGACAATGGCCATCCAAATTGGATAAACTCTTAGTTACGCAACATTATAATCCACCGACAGTGTAGAAATATTTTGTTCCAACTAGCCCGGGTGAAGCACAAATTCTATGAGATATGCAGATTGCGTGACGTTCCCTGGAGCGAACAATACCGAAGAAGGAACAAACCTGAAGAATACAACAGACAAGATCCCCAAAGTACAACCTTCATTCAGTAGCGTAGCAAGTACTTTTGCCGGCCGGGGCGGACATAAAATTGCCGACCACCTGACATTGTAAATCCGTAAGCCATCACAATCGCGAACAGCCCTTAAATAGTTCGTTTCATGAAACAACAAACAAAGATCTAATTTTAGATTGCTACCGTAAATGCAAGCATTTGCATTGTTACAATACTCGTGGACAAATGTTACAAATACAGTTTTCGTGTAATACTTGGAGCAACAGTAATGGAAATAATATCAAAATACAGTCAATTGGCGAGTTCCCTCTGTATGGAGTGAACTGCCAATCCATGTGTATTTTCTGGTTCATTGGTGTTTGAGGGTAGTTCGTTATAAGCTTACGTCTTGAGAATGCGCTCTCACACCTGGCAATACTAATGGTTCGCAAAAGAAAAATGCGTAGCCGATTCCCAAAGGTGATATTGTAGCGAAAACGACGCGTGGGGGGGGGGCAGAGCGTGTATTGCCACCAGAACGTGCTACTGACAACCCACAAACTCGTACAGATTTCGACCGTGTTTCCTTCCCACGACGCAACGCGGATGAGTATTTGTGTGACGGGCCATTTCAGGGGCCTACGAGGTTAGGCTTCGAGACAACCCCTCTATCTTTCCATCACGTATGTCCGCTTTGCTACATCCGATTCTCGCCGGCTATGAGTTCCTTTCGAATGCTCGCGATTTGCTCTCCCGTGGCTGCATCACTCGACCCGCGTTCACTCCTGTGGGCTTCGCTAGCGGCGTGTTTGTCTGATTAATTGTGTCTTCAACAAATACCTCCTGTATTATTCTGGACCCAGGCTTGTTACCAGATGCCACTCGTGATCCGCTGTCGGTTCGATCCGTAACGCCCACAGAGCCTTGTCTCGTCTCATCCATTGCGCTCGTTGTCAATTCTATACAACGCCGTTTTTGTTGTCGTTCCGGTTCACGAGTAGTCACTCGCTTCCGCCGACTCACAATATTTCTGTGAAGCTCGAAAATTCAAAGCTACATTAATTCTTTCGTTTCATGAAGCTTTCATAAAATACTACAATCTCCTTTCGGCAAGAAATTCTTATGTTAAGCGGACAACCATAGCTATCATCAAGCAGATTTGGCGGCATAAGAAAAACATATATGTTTGCAAGGTCATGAATTTGCAGAAATCTATGGAATTCCATCAGTCAAAATATCTATGACAGACTGCATTTCCCCTTCTTAACTCAGCAACGAATCCCATCGATATATCAAACAATTCGTCATCGTCCATTAGTGTTTTGGCAGATCCGACACGTCATGCTTATTTTCAATGCAGTGTAGTGTTTTCTGGATTCATCCGTTCCAATGTCCAACATTGTCACTCTATTCTGAAGACGGCGAAAGTTTGACAGAGTTTTACTGCGGATTCATCCATTTTGTTTAGACATATCTGTACATCTTTGATTTCGGTGAGAACAGAACTCCAATGGCTCAGAAACAAAATAAACGGAAACGGCGACACCCAGATGAGAATTAAAGATGCATCTGATCTTGTAGTTGCATGCTATCCTTATTCTGCGAAATGTTTCAGATAAATGACGAGTCCCGAGTGCTTTTACACCACAACATTCACAGCGCCTACTGGAATACTCCATCTAGGCTTTACATCCAATTGATGGTTATACCGTTGATTTGAAGCAAAAACATCCTTCAATTGCTAGAATAAAAAAGAATAAGAAATGTTGGTGCATTGTACCAAAAAGCTTGCTGTACACAAGCCAGCTTCAGGGAATGGTTGGTGTATGACACAAATATCTATATCATTATTCGCGCCTATCGACACTTTCGCATGCGCAAAAAAATTTGATATTTCAAGCTGTAAATAGTTATTACAACCACATCACAAGTGTTGGATCTCAAGAACCTACCCACAAT